GTATTTGCATACAAACACCAAGTGTATCGCTCCGAGGCTGTTCGAACGGCCAGCGAGCTGGATACGATGGGACGCGGGCCGTTCGGATATCTCGTGCAAAAATCGCGAAAACATATTGAATAAATGTACCAAATTTCAGTGTTGTAGCAACGTCACACCTCGGGATGTACGTAGTTTCTCAGTCGCCACCCCTTACCATAGCTATGTACGTGTAAATACAGCGCCAGAAATGACACGACAGTACTATCTATACCAGACAACTATAAGAACAACCACGTGCGATAGGACAATAACGTTACCCGTTGTCGACCGACTGGAATCCGATCTTGGGTCCAATGTCGCCAATCTCGAGGCCCGGGAGCGTGGCGTGCGTCGTCGGGTCCCGCAGTGGCACCAAGAAGGCCTGCACACCGCGGTCCTTGCCGTTGAGCGTCAATCGGGCGTGGAGGACAATGTGCGTTGCCGTCTTGCCGAGACCACCGGGCCACCACTTGCGGCTTGTGAGCGTCGGTGAGTGCAGGACAAACTCTTCGGTCGTCGCATCGTAGATCGCAGTCGTCTCGATGCCTTGAACGTTGGAGCCGTGACCGAGCTCCGTCTGTGCATAGCCCCCGAGGATCTTGGCCTCGCGCGCGAGCGGGAGCCAGTAGGCACGCTGCTCGTCGTCCATCTGCGTCTCGAGCGTCGGGATGAACATGGACCGGTGGACGTCGATGGGCAGCGGCTCGCCGAGGAGCTCGTACACAAACGTCCGCTCAGTGGCGTCGGTAAGGTTGTGCTCTTGCAAGAAGCGCGTGTACGCGTGCGCCTTTTGCAGCGCAAAGGTATACCGCTCCTTGTGGTTGCGGTACATCATGTCGCGGTCTGAGAGGACCGGGTGCGCTTCGACAAGCGACCGGAGGTAGACCATGCGCGCCTGCCACGCCTTGGAGCCAAGGACAAGGTCAACGCACGCCTCAGTCGTGAACGTCGCGGTCGCCCGCTCGGCAGCGAGCCGCTCGATGGCCACGTCGGCGAGCTCCTTGGGCACCGTCATCGAAAAGGCAAAGTGAGCTTGTTGTGATGGCCTTTCTAGCACCGCCGTCTGTGATTGGCTACTGCCTGGATTTGGATTTGGTTTAAATTACATACAAATAACAAGATATTAAAAAAGCGAAATGCCAACGTCGACCAAGTTGAAGCAGTAGCTTGGTCATATAGAAGGTGCACGCCGCTGGAGTCGCTGCGCAGAGTTCACGCCGTTGATCGAAGCGCAACAAGCGTGCGACGATGACAGAGCGCCCATGTAGCGCTGCAGAGTGCGCCAACGACACTCTTGGTGCTTGGAGTAGCTGCATCGATGCGCCGAGGTCGTCGTGCCCATGGCATGGCCTCCGCAGCTCACTCGGCCACGTACTCGACAAACGGTACCGGCTTCGATCCTCGGCTCGCTTTGTCATCCTTCCCTAGAGCTCTCATTTCCGCGGGCTGGCTCGTTTATCATCTTTGCCCACATTGCACTTCCGGGCGACACAACGTCGGAACGATTCGACTTTG